GGTCTTCTCATCTAGGAGGATATAAGGAACACACATAAAATCTTTATATTATGACAATTACAATTAGAAAAGTGGTCCAAAGGCATAATGTTCATGATGATATTTCAGTTTGAACATGGATTAAAAAGGATATTAATCTCATGCAGATTTGATTGTTGAACTAGCGCAATGATACTGTTGGACTCCATGTATACATGTGTTGTTACACCAGCAGAAGGACAATGATCTCAAAAACCAAACTAGCTCTGATTTCAATTTAAGCACACTTCCTGTATGCTTTGTGTGCATATCAGAGTTAGCTAATCAGCCAACATCATTTAGGATTATATACATATTAAATAGTAAATAAAATTAAAATAGATCTGTTCAAAATGCCAGATATACACTAGATGAAAAGCTCTCTTTTCCAAGTACTTGCAATAATTGTACTAAATAGACAATAAGCCTTGGTTGCTAATTAACCAAATACTTATATACCTGAATTAATTTAGCATAGTGTTAGTACATTATTTATTCCAGAGATCATGAAAACTGATCAAACTGATAAAAGATAGAACATTCAAATGCAATCCAATCTAGTGCTTCCAGAGGGACAAAATCCTCTGTGCTTGTTATGTGAAAAATCTGAAAGTTATTTGAAACAAATATGTGGCTGAATCAGACAAATGCATTCAAAATCTTCTGAAGTCTGTGTTCCCCTGTGTGTTGACGCAGACTGTCTCACTGCTAGTTATCAATTTAGTTTTTATTTTTTTGATTTTTCCCCTCATTAAATACCATGAAAATAGCGTTATCATAAATGACAATAGTGTTGCCATTTTTGTTATTTGTGTGTTACAATTTTCATGAAAAAACTAAAAGAAAACACGTTTTAATCTTTTGAGCTGGGGTGCTGTGGATACCCGAGTTTGTGAAAGCAATAACTCAAGAACAAGGCAAGATTGAGTTTTCAAATCAATACCATGGTTGCATCTCCTGAAAATCTCTGTTAAGTTTAAATCTTAGTGACCTTGACTTCAAGGTCAGAGGTCAACTTTTCTGAAAATCAGAGGATTTTCACATTTATAACATAGGTATGTCTACTAGGAGGCTGAAGGGTAGCACTATATTTATATATTTATAAAGAATTACAAACAACAATTAGTTGATGCTTTAAGCAGGTTTATTTAATTAATATCCAATTTATTTCCAATTAGTTTTGAATTCATCTTTAACATTTGTTGTAGGTCTGATTGAAGGACTGATGTGATGCTAAGTTGTCCACTGCTCCGCTTTGAATATTGAGAGATTAGTTAATGAACTTTAAGCCAATTGTGCCCAAGTTTAAGACCATATTCATTGGTTGTTTTTGTTATTTTTGGGTTGGCTTTTTTCACAAGAATTGCTAGCTTCCCTAGAGTTTTGGCCACCCCAACAATCAGACAATTTCTAAGAAAGCACAAGGTTTTGTCCCCCTGTGATATTCATGTCAGTGCAGGGGGAACTCTTAGAGAGGCAAGGGACGAAAAAGGGATGCTTCAGAATCTCCGACAGTGTTATGCGCTGATTTGCATCCAAGGCCAACATCTGTTTGGTGAGCCTGACAAATAATGGTTGGCATTTTCAGGTCCTCGCCTAACCTTCATTAGTTTTACGAGATCATTGAGACGCTTAAGTTTTATATATCGAGTTTCCTTGGACTGATAATCTGTCTCGTATTGAAATTGTTCTTTGGTCTTAAATGTTGTTGTAGTTGTCTTCGATGAAATAGTCATCAGTGTACAAGCCAGAATCCAGAGGATGATCTGGTAGCTGACCCTGAGTTTCAATTATGAATTTCAAAACATCATAATCGTCTTCCCCAGGATAGAGAGGCACCCCTGTAGCAAGCTCCACAGCTACCAGCCCCAGAGACCACATGTCAATTGCTTCATCATATGGAGTGCCAAGCATAACCTCAGGTGCACAATAACGTCCCCACACGGTCACCAGGAATCACTGCAGAACGGGACATGCGAGTTTGACTTTGACTGGAGACTCATGGCTGTTCACAACAATTATGTTTCCAGGTTTGAGGTCAGCATGCACTATTCCCACAGAACACAGGTGGAACAGAGCATTTTTGTTCATCCTGTGAACTTCGCAGCAGTAGCAGTAATGCAAGTTACTTCCCTCAAGTGAAAGCTTTAAATGTGTTTTTGTATATGAATATTTCACACTTTAAGGCTGCCTGTTTATCTAAGGGAGATGAACAATACATTATAATTGTACATAATAATATCACAGATGATAGATTAAATAAATAGATTTTAGATAGATGTGAAGCGAAATATGCATTTTTTTTTTTTGTAATATGCTGGAAAAGCTTGAAAATGGACCTTGAAAATGCTTAAAAAGCTTGAATTTGACCTTGAAAAAGGTATATGAACCCTGGAGATTGTCTTATCTCTACTTCTCTGGTGGATTCATGGTGATTTATGTTTACATAATATTTACATAATATTTACCTCCAAGGTCGATATTATATGAAACATGAAAACACAAAATACCTTCATGTTATTGATCTGATCACGGCCCCCCTCCTGGACCCCCTGCAGTTTGCATACAGAGCCAACAGGTCTGTAGACGACGCCATCAACATGGCCCTACACTTCATCCTGCAGCATCTGGACTCCCCAGGAACCTACGCCAGGATCCTGTTTGTGGACTTCAGCTCTGCCTTCAACACCATCCTTCCAGACCATCTCCGAGGCAAGCTTTCCCAGATGAATGTGCCTGATCCCATCTGCCGGTGGATCACTGACTTCCTGACGGACAGGAAGCAGCATGTGAGGCTGGGAAAGAATGTCTCGGACTCCCGGACCATCAGCACGGCTCCCCTCAGGGCTGTGTTCTTTCTCCTCTGCTCTTCTCCCTGTACACCAACTGCTGCACCTCCACCCACCAGTCTGTCAAGCTAATCAAGTTCGCAGATGACACCACCGTCATTGGGCTCATCTCGGACGGGGATGAGTCTGCCTACAGGAGGGAGGTTGAACGTCTGGTGTCCTGGTGCAGCCACAACAACCTGGTGCTGAATGCCCAGAAGACAGTGGAGATTATTGTGGACTTCAGGAAGCACACAGCCCCACTCCCCCCCATCATCCTGACTGACACCCCCATCACCTCTGTGGACTCATTCCGCTTCCTGGGTACCACCATCACCCAGGACCTGAAGTGGGAGCCCACCATCACCTCCGTCATCAAGAAAGCCCAGCAGAGGATGTACTTCCTGAGGCAGCTGAAGAAATTCAACCTGCCAACACGGACGATGATGCAGTTCTACACTGCAATCATCGAGTCCATCCTCACCTCCTCCATCACCGTGTGGTACGCTGGAGCCACTATCAGGGACAAACAGAGACTGCAGCGTGTTGTGCGCTCTGCTGAGAAGGTGATTGGCTGCAGACTCCCATCTCTGCAGGACCTGTACACCTCCAGGACACTGCGGCGTGCAGCTCGGATCTCAGCTGACCCTTCTCACCCTGGACACAGTCTGTTTGACCTGCTCCCCTCAGGCAGGAGGCTCCGGTCCATTCGCACCAGAACCTCTCGCCATAAGAACAGTTTCTTCCCCTCTGCTGTTGGACACATGAACAATAACCACATGACTGTCCCCGCCACTAACACATGACCCTACGCTGTGTCACTGCATCATTCCATGTTTGGCACTGATCACCACCTGCACTCATGTATATATCTTTCTACGTAGCACTCTTAATTCTTATTCTCATGTATATATCTCATGTATATCTCATGCACACATCTTTCTTTCTACATAGCACTTTAATTCTTATTGTTTGCACTGAAGCACCGCAGCAATTTCCTAATGTTGTAAACCTCAACATCTGGCAATAAACCCCATTCTGATTCTGATTCTGATTCTGATTCTGATTCTGATTCTGATTCTGATTCTGATCTGTTACCAGTGAACCTAGTAAGTTAAAATGTTTCATTTTAGTGCCTCTTGCTTTTCCAGCCTTTTGTTTCCCTGTCCCAACTTTTTTTCAAATGTTTCTGCACTCAAATTCGAAATGAGTTACCGGTAATATTTTTCATGAAATATGAACGTCTCAGCTTACACGTTTGATATGTTTTCTATGTAAAATTTGGGTTCAAGAGATTAGAAAAATCATTGCCTTCTGTTGTTATGTCAGTTTTACATAATTTCACAAAATCTACGTATTGCTTTTGATTTTGTAGGAATTCAGGTGACGCTGGCTTTGCTGAATGGAGAACTACATTTTTGGTTAGCTAAACATATTCTTAAAGGCCCAGATCCACCAAAGAACTGCCATTTTACTTCAGCTGTTAAGCCTGCTATTCCATATCATTGCCTTTCTCTGCTTCATCCTTTCCTGCAACATGGCTGCAAAACATTTGGTTTTTTTGCATTTTGATAAATATAGTTGAACACAGTACTATTTATAGAAACCCAGTGTGCTGTGCACCTAAGTTGTTTCTGTTGCATGGTGGGAGGGGAGATGGGTCAGAGGTGGAGCGCTTGAGGTTACTGTAACCCAGATGACAGAGCTGGAATGATTGGCCTTGCGGCACTCAGTGTGCCGCCACGCTTAATGCTCCCGCAGGAACATGGTTACACAAGATGCATGTCTCATCTGCCTTTTGTTCTGTGGGGAGAGGGAAGTTATTCAGAAATGTCAATTGACTGTGGAACTAAGAGCTTGTGCATTACAGCCATTATTCTGTTTGTGTATGGGCTGGTTATTTTTTAATATATATATTTTTTAAAAGCAGACAAAATATAGAGAAAGTATGTCTGAAAATGTTTTGTTATATAAAACCACTTTTGCGGAATGCATAATCATGCATTCACTTATTTCACTTAACTTTGTCCCTTAAGTTGGAAGTGCCACTAATGATTGGCCTGATAGGTTTGTAGTGAGTCTGTTTTTCATGAGACCTTCCTTAACATTCCAATATCTGTTTGTCTCCTTTCGGTCTTTTTTTCTTTCACTTAGGATATCATGTTTCCAGCTCCATGGTTGTGGAGGAGGCAAGATGGGAAAGTCGTCACCTTCTACAGGAAGACAACCACTCCAAGCTGTACTCTGAGCCTGAGAAGAACTGCACCGAACCAGGTGAGAGTAATTTAAATGTGTCTCATATGCAAGTGTCAGTGTGGGAGGTTTCTGAAAAGCTTTTATTAGAGCAAGCGGATGTTAAGTGGTGCTTACTTCTGTAGTACCCAAGCCTAGTGTGCATCAACTGTGATGGGCTAGAGACTAAGGAACTCAGGTTTTGGGCATTACTGCCTTTTTGTGTTCAGGGACAGTTGAGAGAGAGGCAAGAAATGTGGAAGAGTGAGTAGGCGAATGTCATGCAATATTGTCCTAGAGATCCACTCCTCTGGCAATGTATGCTATGCCCTATCCACTTGGCTGCAGGTTCACCCCATCAGATTCTTTCTTGGTTCTGCTGACCAGGGGTTAAAGGTAGTTATGCTACAACATTTTAGGACATTTACACACAGTTGATAAGTTTGTAAAATCTTTCCTGTCATTTGTGTTTTTTTTCATCCAATAATTGACCCGACAGTAGGGTCTCACCTGTCATTTAGCTGGTCATCCAGCTGACTAGGCATATCTTACTTGTGAATGTCGTAACTAGAAAAATCATGTCTGGATGGAAATGTTAGCTAACATGGTCCATCATACTAACTTAGATGCCTAACAGACCTCATTTTATGTAACACAGCAAGCAGATAGCCAGAAATCTGCCATTTATATCAGCTGCGCAACATGTATCCGGCATTACTAGCTTTATCACATCAAGTTCAGCTTCGTTGTCATTATATTGATTTGTTGTACAACATATACATACAGTACATACAGTACTGCAGCACAATGTCACAGTCGCTACAGGAAAAGCAGCAGTTGATACGACCAAAATTATTGTAACTTGTTGCCTTTGAAACTATTATTGTGAAAACAGGAACCAAATCAGAGGAAATTGGAGCAATGGCATCTTCATTTTGGTTAGTCATGAAGACCATAAAACAGCAGTAAGATGGGGTCAGACAGTTTGTGATAATATGACAACATATACTACATATATAGACATTCACATTAAACAGTCATTGTCATTAACTGCATACACTGAGAGAACAGGCAAAACATTTTAGATTTTAAACAGCTAAACAAGTTAACTAGAATGCAACCTGTTGGAAAACAGTTGTGTCATGTCCCTTATTGCAAAAAAACATGTTGCAGATGAGTTGTGTTCATCATCCCAGATTGACTCACATTGATATCAACATCTTGGCTGCCTGTTTGCGTTTACACTACAGATGGCATTTATTTGCTGTCAGTCTCTCTCAGGCAGTCTGTGTGAGGGTGATTGAGCATTTCTATGGAGACAGGTTACCTCCCACCAGATGACCCGGGCGAAAGTTGAGGTTGTTGCACTCTCGACCTCTTGGTCATGTGGTCACCTCAACTACTTGCAGTTGGTCATTAAATGCAATAAATACATGCAATGTAAATACAAAGCAACTAAGGATTTTTTTTTCAGTTTGCAATGTGGTTGCTATCCTGTTTTTGCAATGACTGAGCAGAGCTCAACTCAGCTGACACATAGAGTGCAGTTTTTGTTTTTTTTAGAGCACTGGTTTATGAAATTGCTGCACATATCTTTTTTCTGAGCTGAACCTAATAGGGTTCCATCATAATGAAAATAACTGCTAGTTTGAGGACTGTTATTTTCAATTATATCTCAATTGTTGTTATTGGCTCTCTTTGTCTTCCACTATGCTTTACCCTTTTAATACCTGAGAAAAAAACCCACACCGCCTACATCCTTCCTTTTACCTTTCGACACACACAAGCACGCAAAGAACACAAACCTCTTCCAAGTAGAAATCCTCTCTGCTCTCCTTCAGAGCGAATGCTGCCAGCATCAGTATGTATTTGTGTGTGAGTCTCTTCCTCAGTGTGCACCAAACTCTCTCATGCCTTATGTTTGTTTTCTCTGTGGGCTTGTCAGTGTGTGTGTGTGTGTGTGTGTGTGTGTGTG